ACTAGTAGTATATATATATATATATATATATATATATGTGTGTGTATATATGTACATGAATACATAGAATTATATTAGAATGTTAAATTATAATATAATTTAACATTCTAATATAATTCTACATGAAATTATAATATAATTTCATGTATTTATTATAATGTAATATATTGTACATATTATGCATATATATGTAGTGTTTATATTATGTTATATATTTTATATATATAAGATATATTTTATATTCAAAGTACAAATTTATATTAAAAAAAAATTAATTAAATATATTTTTCTTCTTTTTTTTATTAATTCTATAATTTTTAAACGTTCTCGTAAAAATATTACACATTAAATAATATCATTGTAATTGTCGTAATACATTTGTGTTTTAAAATAAATGTTACAAATAATATGATTCATTAATTTGTGTGACTGTTAATCGCTTATTACAATTAAATATTTTTAAATCATTTTAAATATTAGAATTGTATTGAATTAAAATATAAAATATAAGAAATAATTAAATTTGCTTTTACACGATAATATAATTGGGGATTTTATTCTTTATTGAATGATATATTAAATAGACAAGAATAAATCATACATTTACGTGAATGTACCGCCGGTCAGTAATAAATATTATTTGTTGTAAAGAAAGTAAAACGTGTGGTAAAAAATGACGGACTATTTTATTGTATTAGAGATAAGAACTCAGATTCAGAATTGATATGTATGTACGCCCATGATGTGTACACGCGATTAATATTTCAGTTTCACCTTCTTCTGTCATCACTCTAAAGTGTCGAGGTATCTGATAATAGACATATCCTCCTGTCAAATCATTAAAGCGATGGTCATTTATTTAATTCAGCTGGCTTTTTTATGCATTGCGAGCCTTTGTCCAGGCTTAAATTTTTTTGTCATAAATGTGTATGTGCCATCATGAATAGTGTTTTGGATGCATTTTTATTGTGTCGCCGTTTATTGATTTGCTTCGTCGTTGCTTCAATACACTAAACAAAAAAATCGTTTTTGATACAGACATAATTTTACTTCTAGATGAATATAATTTTTCTCATTTGTTGTTTACCTTAAATATATTGAGGACAATTATCAATTTAGTGATTATAGCATATTCGAATTCAGATATGGATGTGTCACATTAAAATTGTTCTGAAGCAATGTTTAATTAAATATTAATAATCAAAGCCATGAATTTTATTTTCATATTTTAATGAATTATTATGTATTTACATATAAAAAAATATTCCCTTAATATTATTATTACTATTAATTATTATTACTATTAATATTTTAATATTACATCTATACCGTAATACCTCCATATTCTTCGTAAGTAACAATGTAATGTCGAAATCATGTTGATATTATAAGTACAAATATTATAAATAAATATTGTAGAGTCTTGTCAGAGATATTTCACTAAGAAGTTCAACAATTATATACATAAGAACAATTATGATAAAGTAAAGAAATATTAAAGTCTGTAAGAAAATGAGAGTTTGTTTGGTAATTATTTCAATCTCCATGATCGAAGAGATCTGTCACGTTATATGTTCGATTCAAAACTGAACTGACACAGTTGGCTACAATCTCACATCAGAAATATTATGAAGGTAGAAGAGAACTGTGGACAGTATCTAGTTGTATTGGAACATTATGGTTTCTAGCACTTACTTTCATGACTAAGCAAAATAAACATAATCAGTGAGCGTGGTTAGAAACAAACACGGTTGAAAGTACACGGTAAAAGTCTTTCGAACGATCGTCATTAGAGTGGCAAGGAATTACAGTTCTGTCTACATTTTTGCATTTTGTATTTTGATAGTGTGTTTCGATAAATAAGCAACTATCATAAAATCTGTATCTTGGCGATGTGTCAACGTTTTGATATTTAGCAGACATTTTGCAAAGTTGTTCATATGCTCTGCGTGAGCGAAGGTGTAAAGTGGCACAAAAGGTATATATAATGATATAATGATGACGGCTCTACCTTTCTGATTACTACATAGGCCTCTCGTAATTACTGAGTAGAGCGCTTTACGTCGCTTATCTCGCGCATCGTTAAATTCTGACTATATCACTAATTACATGTATGCGACGTGTGCGTCGAATTTCTGAATGAATAGCTTCAAAATAACTAGCTAAAAATAACAATAGCTGGTAATTTTACTGGTAAATTTAGAGCACTGTTAAAGATTACTGAATTTAATTTTATATTTATATAAAAATCTTTTTATATAATACAATTAATTATATAATTGATAAATGCATTCATCAAATGAAGAAACTAATTTTTTAACTTACGATTATTTAAAAAAATGTTATATATTAAATTAAAAGATTGATAAATGTATGTATTTTTTTTTTGAGTGAATTAAATCGCACTCCAACATCATTAATGTATTTATGTAGGTATCTGTACACGGAAAAGCGTTACAATCCACAAAATAAATTATTCTATCAACAAAAATATACCACACACTTTTATTAATAAGTAATCAATTTTAATGTTAATGAGTGCATTTAATTTGTTTTGCTTTCCATACCAAACACGCAATTTTAGCGGTTTCTATATCGACAATGTGGTAGATGAGGTTGTTTTATGTCAGAAATGGAGATATTTAATTTCAAAGACTTAGCAACTCTGATGGAAAACGCTCGGATATCTATTAATGTTCATTCATCCTTTACACAGAATTTTTAAATAGAAAATTATAACGATTATACGTATTGTATAATGCTTTATTACATTATTAATATCATTACACCGTTACGTTTTTTTATTTAGGTCACTACAAAGCATCTCGATATCTCAATGTTAGCCGCAGAAATATTGAATTCTCATAAATTTGCTGAATGGAGGAATTACAATTTCCTGAATTATGAATCCTAACAATTGTTATTTTTTGCGCGCGAATAATGAATATGTTATCTCTCTAATTGTAGAAATTGTTTTTTATCGTGCATTGTGTAGCGCTGGACTTTCCAATCTATGCATATTCCTCCATCGATTTTTTTCACACTTTCGCTGCGTCATATCATATATATTCTTTTTTTTGTACACAGTAATGAATGAAAAGGCAAAGCATATCGCTGAATATCTTTCTCTAAAAGCTTATATGGGTTAAATAAGTACCAGTGAACGAAGCTTTTTCCGTTTTGTTAACAGAGCCAAAAAACTTTAAATGAAAAAAGAAAGAACAATATGCGTATAATATATATATTTTTATTGTTATAAATTTTATGAATGGTAAGGCGCTATGTTTAAGAAATTAATTGCAGATCAATAACGTAATAAAAAGAAGTTAAGTACTTTAATATAGTAACAATTACTAATAGTTACTAATAATTCAGTAACAAGTCAAAGTTTTCTATAATTTATGCCGAAGAAGATTTAACGTAAGCTTACAATGGATGAATAAGTCTAATGCTAATTAACTTAAGACAATAATAACTTATCTCTTATATTATTAAATAACATCATAAGTATAAGTATTCTTCTTTGTGCAGATTTTTTACAGTGATAATGGGAGTTGTATTTATTTCTTGTTTTGGCCTTCGTAATCTCGGGAGGAAAGATAAGTATCATTATTCATGTAAGTTCTTGTAGAAAAATGTTTACATTAATTAGTGACTCGATTAGGGATATTGGGAAAGTAATCCTCTTAAAACTTATGCAAAGTTGACTTTGACAACATATCTTGAGACACATGTATAGTCAGACTTCTTCGCACGAAAGAGAATATGATCAAAGTAGGTATAATAACTCCGATATATATGTTGCACTTATTGAAAATTTAATTTATCATTATTCATCATGTTTAAGGTAAATAAATTATATAGATAAAAACTTTATATTCCCTTATTATTAAAAAAAATTAAAATACGTTAATTAATACAATAAAATTAATAGATAATAATAAATGTTTAATTTATAAAGATTTAATTTTATTTATGTGGACCATTTATATATATTTTAAGCAAGTAAACAAATACGTTTAATAATTGTTTTGCAGTAAAGAGCAGATTCGTCATTCACATGACGTGTATTTAGTAATGAATGCGGTCGTCTGATTCTGTGTCTTACTCATTTCATTTGAAAAGCGCATGCAACATCATGCTCTAGGACTGGGAGCCAACACGTTACATTTAATTGTTAAGTAAAGTTAAATACAAAATGTGAACGCGCTCGCTCGGCCTTTTAAAACTGTAGCCGAAGGCGAGTAATAGAGGACGAACAGAATTTAAAGATGAATCGAATTTTACGCTGAAAGCTCGCTGATTGCTTTTAATTTGCTTTAACGTGTGCTAAAATGAACAGAAGTCAATTATTCTCGCTAGACAATCATCTCCATGCTCGATGTTCGAACAGAGTTGCTTGATATTGATCTGATTCATCCTCCAATCCCGTATTTACCCGCGTTCGACATTACTCTTCCGGCACGGGAAGTTACGATGTATTTTACGATGTACGTTAACTTGACGTAAAGACGAAAGCTACTCGCATTCGTGCAACTTCACGTTTTCTTTTTTTTATTTTTATATTGCATCCCGTTGTGTTTTTATACATTGTCTGGAATGCTGCTCACGTGGCTTTCCGCACGCCTGTTCTACTTCACGCGGCTTTACATCACCGAGTCGCAAATCAATCCTGAGGTTTCCTTGCTACGGCGGATCTAACGTCACAATTTAATCTCAAGTTGTGAAATTGCGCGAGCCGGCAAATTAGAATCGGACGACTATACCGAGTTTGCGGTTGCGCACGCACGTTTTCCATAGGCACCATCGACGAGTGACTCTAATGAATCCTCGGCGGTTGACGGATGTGCACGTTGACTAAAGTGATTATGGCGTTTGCTGTTGAACTAATGTCGCTCGAAGGCAATTATCATCATCGCGCATTTCATTACGTATATACGGATAAAATTTCCTCTCAAGACGTACCTGCGCGCGTCTTGACAGTCGTCTGTTTTTGTTACGTTAGTCTCTCCGCTGTAATTGTTCTAAAATTTATTGAAGATTATCTTGGTAACATGGTTGTAACACGCTTTCCCGTAAAATCAACCGCGCGCTTCAAATCTTCTCAATTATATATCGGGAAAGAGGATAAATATATATTCGTGGTTAATTTGGAGTGTCGCCATTTACTGAGTGGTCGTTCATTAACGAGTAACAATCTCGCGATTCAATTTGCAGTAAATATCTTTGCACCAATGTTGGTTAACGCGCACTCGCTCATTTTAATTTCAATTATATAGATGAATTAAATGATACAAAAATGAAGAGTATAAATTATTCAGTAAGAATAAAAAGTAGAAAGAGCGTTATGTATTGGATTTACACAATGTTATAAAAGAATGAATGGTTATATTAGAAAATTATAAGTAAAATCATTTTTATATGTATATTAAAATTTATCGAGAAATATATTTTCTCATGATTTTAGAACTTTGTGTGAAAATTGCTTCGCTTGTCGCCTCTTTCATGAAGTAATCATCGAGCTACATATCTTTCACGATACATCTTGTATATAAATAGGTGTAGCCGATAGCAATGTTTCTATACATAAGTAGATTAAATGTTCTACTAAGAATATATAATCTTTATTTGATTTAAGCGCATGTCATTTTATCGCGTGGAAAATTTAATACATACAAAGACATAAAATGCTTTTAGAATTTGTTGAGAAATTATTTTCTATGACTCGTAACAAGGGAAGAGTTGATTCTATTAGAACGCATGACGCATGAAGTGCATTCTGGCACGCTGTAATATAATGACGTCCGTAAATCCGATATATGTCGTCACGGAATCTGCGGAAGAAAGGGTCAACGCGTCTCTCGCGTAAAGCACACGCAGGATAACGATGTGATGTTGCGATGTCTTTATGGGGAAACCCATTCACATTTTCTAAATATACGGTTTGGCTGCAAGAATGTACACAGGTATATTTTTTTCTCCGAGATAAAGTGACAGCTAGATATGAAGGTGTGTGCGTATAAAGAAGAAAAATAAAAAAGATTTATTAATATTTTCTTTAATGTTTCGTACTTTTTTATTTTTGAATCGATTCAATGCAACATGTGGTTTAATGTCGAAGACAGAAAGAAAACTTAAAGAAAGAAATCTCGTTGAAATTGGAGGATTGTTGAGAAAGATTTATCTTACAGATTTTTCGATTTTTCTAACTCCTTTTAAAGCTTTCCACGCCATCTGAAAAGAAAAATAAGTCAATTATCTTTCTGAATAATTAGAAAAATAGCGCAAACCTCTGATTTTACAAACCTCTGATTATGCTTTAATCCTTTTTCACAGACAACAAGCTCCTTATTACTCTTGTATTTGTAAAGGAAATTGTGATCATTATCTATGAATTTTTCTCAAGATAAAATAAACGAGCATTATAATATATTTTTAATATATTTTATTCTTAATAATTTTAGATGCTTAATAATTAACTTAATATTTATTATTTGTTATATTTTTAGAAGAAATACATAGATTTTTTTTATTATTTTTATAAGATATTCCAAAATTAATATTTTCCAAAGCATTTTCATTATGTAAATGTACAAATGTTTGATATGAGATGTTGCAAAAAGCA